TGAGAGACTGCCTGTCTCCCATAGTATTTTTCCAGAAAGCTCAAACTGGCAGGATTGGTGTGCTCCAGGTTCCATTGATTAAACAGTGCCATCTATCAGGGTTCTTCTCTGTAGTAGAGCTTGATAAAGTGGGCTTGACATAAAGTATCTCTCAGTTCTAAATATTAAATATATGAAAGCATAAAGGAAGAAAGGGATTAGGGTGCACATCAACCCTGCCTCAAAATATAATGTTTTAATAATGTAAAAATTGACTCTACTTATGTGCGCACACACCTGCAAACACACACATATAGCAGGCCACTTGTTCTCTTTAGCCTTTTGTGAAGCCACTATAAATTTTGTTTACAGTGAGGGTGGTTTAGGTTGTGATTTTAACTTTAGAGTGGTGATAAAAAATGGTTAGTTGCAGCTTATTGAGGTAGGCATAGGAGACATTCTAGTGTTTCTTTTGAAAACATTGTGGTCTTTCAAATTATTTATATAGCTTAAATTGGTTCACAGTATGGTATATCAAAATACTTCAGTAATTTTTAAACACAGTCAGCATGTGAGGTTGTTTACACAAAATTCTGGTTAATAGTCATTTTGGTATTTTTATTGAGGTCCTCAACTCCTGTGCATTTATATATCTTCTTGTCTGTTGAAGATCTGTTGCATTTTGTCTTTATTTGAAGATTTACTGCAAAGGACAGTATTTTTTTTACCTTTATATTGTAGTTGGGTTGATTGCAATTCCTGCCATTCCTTACCTGCTGTGTGTCAGACTCCCAACCTGCAAAAAAAGGTGTCGTAAGTGTAATGGGAGTAATCCTTCCCTGAAAAAGACAGAGCAAGAAAGTAGTCATAATTGCTAGCTAAAGCCACTTTCTAGTAGAGTTGTGCATACTTGAAAAAAATTCAGGCTTTCTGTGAGCCAAATTTTTAGGCTTCTATGTGTACGTGGAAAAAAAAGATGCCACTTTGAGAATCAACTTAATGAGTAATACCTTTGAGATCATTTTTTAATTGTGCAGAGCCCTGCTTTGTGGGGTGAACTTAGAAGAATCAATAAAGATTGTGACTGACATCATAAATCATGCAAGCTATGGATCTATTAAGTACTGTATATTTTATTGAATAAGCTGTAGTTTACAGGATTTGCAAAGCATTTATATTGAATCCATGGTTACAGCAGATCTTGACCAGCAAGAAATTACTTTGAGAAGAAATCTACACATTAAGATGAATGCCGCTCATCATTGGATCCCACATCTTCTCCCCAGATGTTGGCATTGCCCACTCAGGGTTGCATGGAAGATAATGCTTTTGTAAAACATTTTTCTTGCAGTGTCCTATGCTTATTAATTTTTTCAGAGAAAATACTGAATTATATAAAGATGATTGTGTAACAAAAGCTAAAATTTTCAGATGGTATTATTCTACATAACTAATATTTGGAATTTGGCAACCAGACAACATAAATGGGTTCTTCACGTCCTTATTGCCAACTATTAGGGCATTAAAAAGATAAATGTACGGCCCCTTTCACTCAATGGATTACGCTCATTACTTATGAGCAAATTACCTATAGATGTAGATTTTATACAGAGAAACATAATATATGGAATTCATTTATACAAAATAGAGTAGGTTAAAAAAATGATAGCTATATGAACTTGAATAATAATTATATAAGATAACTATATAGAGAATTATAACTATTGCTAAAAAGACTATTATTTATAATGAGAAGAATAAGAATGCTAAAAATACTACCATCTCCTGCAGTGGTATAATTAGCAGTTATCAGCAATTTGTAGAAGGATATTTATTATTGTCCTAGCTGATGGCCATCAGCTATTTTAATCCATTTATCAGTGCTGTTAATATGTATTTCTTGTGGTACCATATTTTCTGGCGTATAAGACGACTGGGCGTATAAGACGACCCCCAACTTTTCCAGTTAAAATATAGAGTTTGAGCGAGAGAGAGGGGGGGAGAGAAAACTTGATGAGTAATATGCCAAACCACATGTGTAAAGGAATAAAATAGAATACCCGTATTTTCCAGCGTATAAGATGACTGGGCGTATAAGACGACCCCCGACTTTTGAGAAGATTTTCAGGGTTTAGAAAGTCGTCTTATATGCCGGAAAATACGGTACTTAACATTTATTAGTCATTTCATCTATCAATTAGCAATGACAGTTATAGTAAGCATGGTATTTGAGTGTTTGATATTCTAAAGCAGGGGTCTCCAACCTTGGCAACTTTAAGACTTGTGGACTTCAACTCCCAGAATTCCTCAGACAGCAAAGCTATCTGAGGAATTCTGGGAGTTGAAGTCCACAAGTCTTAATGTTGCCAAGGTTGAGGATCCCTGTTCTAAGATATGAAGGCCTTTTTTCCCTCTGAAGACTTTAATTTTGTGTCAACTAAGAAAATTGAAAGTTTGAGGACCATTAAAAGAAACACTCTGGTAAAATACCATGGAATTAGTAAAATGCTCTTTAACCCTAATATTACATTCATTTTAAAAAATTAAGAATTTGAAGCAATTTTCATCAGCTTTCCCAATTTTGAGTAGAATTATTTTAACTTCTACCATACCAAGAGCATGACCAACAACCATATTCAAACATCTGAGGACACCAAATTGGAGAAGTTTTGGTTTTCCTGGTATATTGTATTCCAGCTTCTTAAATAGCTTGGGGTTATTTGAGTGGTGATCCATAACATCTGGACAATTATTGCCTACCCCCTCTGTTAGACAGATATATAAAGAGATATTTAAATCCCACAAATTTAATACATATTTTGATTCTAGAAAGACAAAGCTTGTGGTTGACTTTTATAAGAGCCATACACATAACCTTGTTCCATTCAGTTTTCTAGTTAACCTGTGGTGGCAAATACCCTGTTAACTGCTGTCCTTTTAACCTGTTCTCTCCCCATTGATTAGCCTTCTCACTTAACCTCAAACTACAGACTAGGAAGCAAACAACCATTTACTGCTTTGTTTTGTTGAAAAGTAAAAAAACTACTCTGGATATTGAAGCTTCAGAGGAAACAAATATCTGTGAACTTGGGCAAGACAAAGCCATGGCAGAAAATATCTACCTGGAAGTTTTCAGTAAACATTCACTATCTATCTTGGTAAAACTAATCAATGTGCTGAACAGTATATTTTTTTCTGCTAATGAATCTTTGAAGTTTGAGTAGATTGAAAATACTACTTATACAGTATTTCAGTTTGTCAAAACTGTTAATTTCAATATTCATAAAAAACCAGTGAGTCTTATTTAAAAATGTGTACCATGGGATTTCAAATTTGGGCTCTGGTCTTATATGCATCCTATTGAAATCAACAGGCATTATTCCTGAGTAACACTGCCTATCATAGTACTGTAAGAATCCTGTGCATATCTTTAAGACAGACCTGGGCATTTTATGGCCCAAGAGGGCCACATCTGGCCCATAGGTGGTTCCAGTTCGGTCCGTGGCGGGAGAGAAGGGCAATGGCCAGTCCTCCACAACAGTTCCTATGTGGCCTTTGGGAAAATTAATTTCCCACCTCAGCTTTAAAAGAGTAAAGTTCTACTTAATAGATGCACGTTTAGAATTGAAACTTTAATCCAGAGTTTTGTACTAAAGATTCTATAATAAAAATGATTTAATCATACAAGTCCAATATTTTTTCTTCCTCTACAGAAGACTTTCCCATCATCTCATATTTCTCTAAAAGAGATCATCGCTCAGTGGAGAAAGTAAGCTTTTCTGTTTATTATTGGAGGGTGGTTAGAGAGGTTTTGCCTGTTGCTACCTTATAGCTATACTTAATTGTTATTTAATTCTTTTGCACTTGGTTTAAGAGTCCTGATCTTGTGAATACTATATCACACATTCAGTATTGGGTTTTGGACTAGTTTCAAACAACAGTATAAGAAGAGAATTTGTCCGTTGTCAATAACTTACTCAAAAAAGCTGCTTATAGTTGCAACTATATTAAGACAGATACTTAAATTAGCTTTCTTACCTCAAAATATCACTGTTTTAAGCTTTCTGATACCCAAATAATCCTTTTTATACAATAAATTCGTACAAAGCCCAGTAATCTGGTGCATTGAATTACAGTAGCAATATGAATATAAAACGCTGATACATTTAGCTACTGTAAGCCGTTTTGTCCTTTGTGTTTGTTCTCTTGTATACGATAAGAAAATCCTAGGACCATGCTCTTGCAGCTTAGATTATTATGGGACTTAATTAAGTTTTCCATTATAATTTCATGGTCCTGTATAGGATATGTATAGCTCTAATTTTATTTTTAATATTAAGTTTGAAGTCTGCCTGGTCTTATATTTTCTTGAGAAAATGATCNGTCAGATAGATGCTGGAAATGTAAGTATAACTCAGGCACCTATTATCATGTTTGGTGGACATGTGGCAAAGCTAAGGTTTATTGGAAAAAGGTACATGCTTGGTTAGAAAAAATGTTGGGAGAACATGTTGATTTTAAACCTGAACTTTTCTTATTAGGTATAATGCCAGAAAAAAATTAATAAACAAAGCTTATATTTATTTGATTTTACATGTCACAACAGCAGCAAGAATAATTTTTGCGCAATATTGGAAAAGTGAAGGATTACCACCGGAGGAAGAATTAATCAGAAAAATATTGGAATGCGCAGAGCTGGACAGATTAACTATGAGACTGAAAGATAAAGAAGAAACAGAATATTACCAAACTTGGGATTTATTTTATCAAAGGCTAGAGGAAAGAATGAAGGATTAGGAACTAACTATGTATTAGCGTTTTAAAACCCAGACAGCACGTTGGTTGAAAAATTAATATACGTATGTAAGAGAAAATTAATACAATCTTGATAAAAAGAAAAAAGAAAAGGACCCAGGCCGACTAACGTTTGGCACGCAGACTACATTTCCCAGAAGCCCTTAGACCGGCGGGGCGGGAGGAAGAGGAAGTGATGAATGCGCTCATGCATGGTCAAAGGGTAGAACTGCACAGGCAGTTTGGGGCATGCGGTTAGTCCTTCGCCCGTTCTGCACGCGGGGCCTGCGATCGTAGTCATGCGTGTGGGATAGAGGTTGTTGCTTCCGCACCCCCACACGCGCGGCGAGAGCATGACGGCAGCTGAGAGAGAGCAGAAAGAGCTGCTGGCTCTGATGCACCAGCAGTTGGTCCAAATGGGTTATGAGAGAGCAGCCAAGGAGTTGCTGGAGCAGAGCGGCCAGGTAACGGCGCCGTGGCCCACGTGGCTGGAAACAGGGGGACCCGGCAGCATTGCTGCTTTCTTGAAAGGCAGCTGCGGGTCAGGTTGCACGTTGAACTGTTCCCTTCACCAGCTTTCTCCTTGGGCCTGATAACGAGGCCGAAGTAGCTTCTCTGGACGTTTGAAACAGGACACCCTGGTCCTTGGGTTAGTTTATTTGTGTTAAGTGGAGGCAGGTATTTATTTTTTTTTTCAAACATATGGTTTTGTGGTGCTCTCCTTCTGTAGCTTCACTATCTTGGCTTGGAAATCATCGCTAATACTGACCTGCTTTACAGAGCTGTTTGGAAGAATGTACTCTTGTTATTAAAACAGTCTGCCTCCTTTCTCTTTGGACACTTAGGGCAGGGATCAGAATATGTACATTCTCAGGATAAGGATTATTGAAGAGGCTGAACGCTTACGTGTCATACAAATTCTAGGCACACTTATGTGTTTAAGCATTCCTGTGCCCATGTGGCATACCTAAATAAACAGTGGTCGTTGGGATGTTATGGAATAACAAAGGTAAATGCTCATCTAAAAGGTCTAAGGCAAGTTGCACCTTACTCTAATTTTGCCCATTTTAGCCTCTGACAGATGTATTTCCAGGCATATGAATCACCAGATGCCCCGATTCCACGTTCTTACAAATACTCTTCTTTTATCGGTACCTTCTTAATGTTCATAAGCCACTTAGAGATGTAATACTAGCTAATGTGAAATGAACATTTAGTAAAACTGCACCGTAGGGATCATCATAAACACTGCTGAAAGAATCTCTTCTGCCCCTGTTTTCAGTTTGGTTTCATTGTGGGAGAAGGCCATAATGGCAACTGCTGTCTAAGTAGCACATGGGTCCTGCAGTTCCATCAATTTGGGAATTTTGTTTATAAGTTGAGATTCATTCATTCTCCTGCAATCAGAGGCTATAAATAATTAAGATTTTTTGCCCTCTGTAGACATTCCTATGTCTCTGTTTGCAAGACAAATTAAACCATGAGGGTCAGTTGGTAACTCTGTGTTCTATCCTGCTATTCCCCCTTCACATATGGCTGAAACTGGCCATTTAAAAGAGCTGAAATGAATGTCCTCTTGGATGGGTTGGAAATCAACCTTGTCACAGATCTTCATGTTCAGTTTCCAGATTTCCAGGATGGCATCTAGTTTAATAGCAGTGATTTAGTATGCAGCAATTATCAGGTAAAGAGACATATCAGAGAGAGCAAGATAGAAGTGTTAGTATGCAGAGTGAACAGACCACAAGCTCTTTGTGGATTATAATTCATACATTTTTGTTTTGAATTGTTACTACTTGACTAATGAAAATTAAAATGCTATGTTTTTCTGTAAAAGTCTCTGCTATGTTCTTTTTATAGTCTCACAAAACATTGTTTTGTAATGATGCTCAAATGAAAAGATAAAGAGCTACATTAGAAGAGCTAAGGACTCATCATCATTGCTTATTAAAACTTGGGCTGATATCCTTAAACTTCTTAACTGGATTCTTTATATTGTGCTTCTTGGAAAGGTTGAGATTCTACTCACCGTGTATCAAAAAGGCAATCAGTTGTTACAGTCAGTGTAATATTAGAGAAATATTAATCCATCTAAACTGCTTCCACTTTCTGCTCCAATAAGGCTACTCGCACACCTGTGCAGACATTGCTCAGTGAGTTATAACTGCATGAATACAGCATTAAGTGGAAAAATGTGGATTCTGAATAAGAACTAATCTGAAAGCACTTCCCATTATGTATTTTACTTATTTACAATATAGCCTGCTTGTAGGCTCTTCTGGCAACTGACCATCCCTGAAAGCAAATCAAGAAAAATAAATAACTTGCTATGATTTGTGTTTTTTAAAAATTAACACTGACAGAGAGGCACTTGCAGATGAAAGTCATGGTCAGTCTATGCTGGGGCAGGTGGCATCAGTGCCAACCTTAAAGTCTTGATTTTTGAGTAAGAACATAGCAGGAAACACTTGTTTCCTCAAGTTTTGGAGTCCTAAACCATTTGAATCTTTAAATAGCAAATAGTGTCTGATAAGTAATGCTGGGGTAACCATGCAATTCTTTTAGGATTTGTGTTATGCCATTTCTGAAAGATGTCTCAGATAATAATATATATTATTATAATATACTAGTTACCTCATTCTGCACTTTTCAAATCATCTGTCACTCATGCTTTGGTCACTTTATGGCTTGACAACTGCAATGTGCTCTTCATGGGGCTGCCCTTGAAGACCACCCAGAAGTTTCAACTAGTTCAGAATGCAGCAGTGCAAGCAGTAATGGGCATGCCTTGGTATGTCCATGTAACACTTCTGCTTTGTGAAATGCACTGGTTGTGAATTTGCATCTGAATGTGAAGCAAGGTGCTGGTTTTACCTACGGCCTGGTTACTTGAGAGACAGCCTGTCTCCCATAGTATTTTTCCAGAAAGCTCAAACTGGCAGGATTGGTGTGCTCCAGGTTCCATTGATTAAACAGTGCCATCTATCAGGGTTCTTCTCTGTAGTAGAGCTTGATAAAGTGGGCTTGACATAAAGTATCTCTCAGTTCTAAATATTAAATATATGAAAGCGTAAAGGAAGAAAGGGATTAGGGTGCACATCAACCCTGCCTCAAAATATAATGTCTTAATAATGTAAAAATTGACTCACACACACCTGCAAACACACACATATAGCAGGCCACTTGTTCTCTTTAGCCTTTTGTGAAGCCACTATAAATTTTGTTTACAGTGAGAGTGGTTTAGGTTGTGATTTTAACTTTAGAGTGGTGATAAAGAATGGTTAGTTGCAGCTTATTGAGGTAGGCATAGGAGATATTCTAGTGTTTCTTTTGAAAACATTGTGGTCTTTCAAATTATTTATATAGCTTAAATTGGTTCACAGTGTGGTATATCAAAATACTTCAGTAATTTTTAAACACAGTCAGCATGTGAGGTTGTTTACACAAAATTCTGGTTAATAGTCATTTCGGTATTTTTATTGAGGTCCTCAACTCCTGTGCAATTTATATATCTTCTTGTCTGTTGAAGATCTGTTGCATTTTGTCTTTATTTGAAGATTTACTGCAAAGGACAGTATTTTTTAATCTTTATATTGTAGTTGGGTTGATTGCAATTCCTGCCATTCCTTACCTGCTATGTGTCAGACTCCCAACCTGCAAAAAAAGGTGTCTTAAGTGTAATGGGAGTAATCCTTCCCTGAAAAAGACAGAGCAAGAAAGTAGTCACAATTGCTAGCTAAAGCCACTTTCTAGTAGAGTTGTGCATACTTGAAAAAATTTTCAGGCTTTCTGTGAGCCAAAATTTTAGGCTTCTATGTGTACGTGAAAAAAAAGATGCCACTTTGAGAATCAACTTAATGAGTAATACCTTTGAGATCATTTTTTAATTGTGCAGAGCCCTGCTTTGTGGGGTGAACTTAGAAGAATCAATAAAAATGGTGACTGACATCATAAATCATGCAAGCTATGGATCTATTAAGTACTGTATATTTTACTGAATAAGCTGTAGTTTACAGGATTTGCAAAGCGTTTATATTGAATCCATGGTTACAGCAGATCTTGACCAGCAAAAAATTATTTTGAGAAGAAATCTACACATTGAGATGAATGCCGCTCATCAGTGGGTCCCACATCTTCTCCCCAGATGTTGGCATTGCCCACTCAGGGTTGCATGGAAGATAATGCTTCTGTAAAACATGTTTTTTTTGCAGTGTCCTATGCTTACTAATTTTTTCAGAGAAAATACTGAATTATATAAAGATGATTGTGTAACAAAAGCTAAACTTTTCAGATGGTATTATTCTACATAACTAATATTTGGAATTTGGCAACCAGACAACATAAATGGGTTCTTCACGTCCTTATTGCCAACTATTAGGGCATTAAAAAGATAAATGTACGGCCCCTTTCACTCAATGGATTACGCTCATTACTTATGAGCAAATTACCTATAGATGTAGATTTTATACAGAGAAACATAATATATGGAATTCATTTATACAAAATAGAGTAGGTTAAAAAAATGATAGCTATATGAACTTGAATGATAATTATATTAGATAACTATATAGAGAATTATAACTTGCTAAAAAGACTATTAATTATAATGAGAAGAATAAGAATGCTAAAAATACTACCATCTCCTGCAGTGGTATAATTAGCAGTTATCAGCAATTTGTAGAAGGATATTTATTATTGTCCTAGCTGATGGCCATCAGCTATTTTAATCCATTTATCAGTGCTGTTAATATGTATTTCTTGTGGTACCGTATTTTCCGGCGTATAAGACGACTGGGCAGATAAGACGACCCCTAACTTTTCCAGTTAAAATATAGAGTTTGAGCAAGGGGGGGGGGGAGAGAAAACTTGATGAGTAATATGCCAAACCACATGTGTAAAGGAATAAAATAGAATACCCGTATATTCCGGCGTATAAGATGACTGGGCATATAAGACGACCCCCGACTTTTGAGAAGATTTTCAGGGTTTAGAAAGTCGTCTTATACGCCGGAAAATACGGTACTTAACATTTATTAGTCATTTCATCTATCAATTAGCAATGACAGTTATAGTAAGCATGGTATTTGAGTGTTTGATATTCTAAAGCAGGGGTCTCCAACCTTGGCAACTTTAAGACTTGTGGATTTCAACTCCCAGAATTCCTCAGACAGCAAAGCTATCTGAGGAATTCTGGGAGTTGAAGTCCACAAGTCTTAATGTTGCCAAGGTTGAGGATCCCTGTTCTAAGATATGAAGGCCTTTTTTCCCTCTGAAGACTTTAATTTTGTGTCAACTAAGAAAATTGAAAGTTTGAGGACCATTAAAAGAAACACTCTGGTAAAATACCATGGAATTAGTAAAATGCTCTTTAATCCTAATATTACATTCATTTTAAAAAATTAAGAATTTGAAGCAATTTTCATCAGCTTTCCCAATTTTGAGTAGAAGTATTTTTACCTCTGGAACGAACTACCCCCAGAGATCCGGGTGATCCCGGATCTCCCTTCCTTCCGCCGCGCCCTTAAGACATGGCTATTTCAACTAGCAGGACTGGCCTAAGGGGTAATTTTTAGCAGGGTTTTAAATATAATTTTAAAATAACAAAGGCCAATTTAATATTTCCTTTTAATTATGTTTTAATGATAGTATTTTGGTATTTTTTGTATTTGTTTTTATCAGGCTGTTAGCCGCCCTGAGTCCGCAAGGAGAAGGGCGGGGTAAAAATCCAATAAATAAATAAATAAAATAAATAAAACTTCTACCATACCAAGAGCATGACCAACAACCATATTCAAACATCTGAGGACACCAAATTGGAGAAGTTTTGGTTTTCCTGGTATATTGTATTCCAGCTTCTTAAATAGCTTGGGGTTATTTGAGTGGTGATCCATAACATCTGGACAACTATTGCCTACCCCCTCTGTTAGACAGATATATAAAGAGATATTTAAATCCCACAAATTTAATACATATTTTGATTCTAGAAAGACAAAGCGTGTGGTTGACTTTTATAAGAGCCATACACGTAACTTTGTTTCATTCAGTTTTTCTAGTTAATCTGTGGTGGCAAATAACTTGTTACTGCTGTCCTTTTAACCTGTTCTCTCCCCATTGATTAGCCTTCTCACTTAACCTCAAACTACAGACTAGGAAGCAAACAACCATTTACTGCTTTGTTTTGTTGAAAAGTAAAAAAACTACTCTGGATATTGAAGCTTCAGAGGAAACAAATATGTGTGAACTTGGGCAAGACAAAGCCATGGCAGAAAATATCTACATGGAAGTTTTCAGTAAAATATCTACATGGAAGTTTTCAGTAAACATTCACTATCTATCGACTCCTAGACCCCTAACTTGTGGGGTGCCTCAGGGGTCGGTCCTCTCTCCCCTTTTGTTCAATATTTATGTAAAGCCGCTGGGGGAGATCATTCGTGGCTTTGGGGTGGATTTCCATCAGTACGCTGATGATACTCAGTTGTACATCTCCACCCCAGGCCACCCCAACGATGCCCTTGACGTGATGGCCCGTTGCC